CTGTACCCGTCTGTCTGTCTGGAGATAGCCCTGCACCCGTCTGTCTGTCTGGAGATAGCCCTGTACCCGTCTGTCTGTCTGTCTGGAGATAGCCCTGTACCCATTGTCTGGAGAGGGACCAAGAGATCAGCAGGTTCTGGAGCCTCATTGCTCTCTGATTCCGAATCACAGTGAGTGAATGGATTCCATCTGTGCTCTGTAATTAACCCTTTACTGTATTCAGTTTCACTTCTCTTCCACCGGTATCTCTGCCTTATTGGGCTTCTAGCTCTTTCTAGGGGTCCATTCACTAACTGCAAACCAAACCAGTAAATCCGGCATTAGATACATTCTTTATCTCCCTAAAGTCACAGCTTGATTATTTTATCCTAATTTCTGTGATCTGGTTTTCAGTTGAGTATTTAGTAAATCTACCCCCTATCCTCTCAGCAATGACCCTGCGTTCACTCCTTTATTAACCCTCCGTGTACCTGTATGTGTTTCCTGCTTATTCATCTGCCAGCGCCCTGTAAATCACCCCGTGATTTATTTACTAAACTCTGACAGGAATCCACATTGATTGGGAAGGTAGCGAGATGGACCTACAAATCCTGATAATCCGAATATCCATGATTTGTACAGTGTGAGCACAGGGAATAATGTGGCGAAGAAGAGATGCCACAGAGCTGGCAATCTGGAGACAGCGGGCTAGTGATGTCAGAAATAACTAGTGATTATACATAAAATAATGGACATCCACTAAATCAGGAGTAAGTCCAGTGGACTACATCTCCATTACTGCTCTCACAGCCATAATGCTGGCAAAGCATCATGGGAGATGTAGTCCACAGTCTCTGGAGTGCCGAAGATTGCTCACACAGAGAGCGGAGTTTGGAAATGGAGCCTGTTTCCTGCGATATAACTGCTGAGACAATATCCCTCCATTCCGTCAGGGAAATTCTTGCACTATATCTATTGTACAATTCCCATTAAATTCTAAAAGAGAGCATGCAAGAATATAAATACTAACAATAATAATCGAACAATCACAATAATAAAAAACTGGCTAGGAACGAAACACACCTTTTCCAAGCCAGTTTAGTGAATGGCAAGTAGACATTGTCACTGGAGGCAACTTCGAGAATGGTTTAGTCCCTTGTGATAAGAGTGCCTTTAGGGCCTGACACCTGACCGCTTATTCTAGATGATGTTGTTTTGGTGCTTGGAGTGTCCCTTTAACTCCTAATTTTCAGTGAATTGAGCAGTGAAACTGCAGAGGCATGATCTATACACCAAGACAGAGCTGGACTGGGAACTAAACGCAGCCCTGGGGAAAGAAAAGGCTATACTTAAAATTGATGACAGCTTAATGTAGTTGTTCAGGTATGATCTATAGCTCCCTGCAGGCAATCTAATGTAAACACTGTCTCTTCCCTCCCCAGGCCCCCTCTGTGTATCTCATTTACCCCCAGCCCAGGCCCGGACTGGCCATCGGGCATACCGGGCAAATGCCCGGTGGGCCGCGATGGCCGTGGGGCCGAGGCCGGCAGGGGAGATCACAGGATCCCCCCGGCCGGCCCCTGCAGGGCCAGCGCTACCCGAGCGCCGGCCCCGCTGTGTGTCTCCATGGGCCGGTGGGGAGATCACAGATCTCCCTCACCGGCCCACAGACAGGGAGATGCGGCTGGGGCTGGGTGAGGGAGGGAGGGAGGAGAGGACCGGCGGAGCTCTAACAAGCAGCTCCGCCGGGTCCTCTCGCGGGATTCTGAGCGTTGCCGCGGCAACGCTCAGATCTCGCAAGAGTGAACTCTAACCTGCAGGTTAGAGTTCACTCTCACCACTGGACCACCAGGGAAGGATGGCAGAACAGATCTCCTCCCCCCCATGGCAGAACGGATCTCCTCCTCCCACCCTCCCAGGATAAAGGTAAGAAGGGAGGGGGGGAAATAATTTTTTTTTATTTTATTTTTTTTTTACTAGTAAAAAAAAATATTTAAGCACCCAGACACAGCACTCCCCAAGACACAGCACTCCCCAAGACACACACAGCACCCCCCAGACACACACAGCACCCACCCAGACTCACACAGCGCACCCAGACTCACACAGCGCACCCAGACACACACAGCGCACCCAGACTCACACAGCGCACCCAGACACACACAGCGCACCCAGACACACACAGCACCCCCCAGACACACACAGCACAGCAGACACACACAGACACACACAGACACAGCACCCAGACACACACAGCACCCAGACACACACAGCACACCCCCAGACACAGCACCCCCTAGACACACACAGCACCCAGACACACACAGCACACTCCCACACATATACAGCACACATATATATATATATATATATATAAAAATAACCCTCAGTGAGTTAACAGACAAAGAAAATTAGAAACCTAGAATGTGACAGCAGATAAAAACACCCTCACACATAGCACCCCTCTTACATACACACACTGCGCCCCTCACACATACAATAAGTCCAAATATATATATATATATATATACACATACACACACATACACACACACACACACACTACAGCACCCCTCACACTGCACCACTACACACATTACGCTCCAGATACACACTAGATCCCTTACTCTATATGCACTCTTTATCCTCTATACACACACACACACACACACACACTGGGTCCTTTACACAGTAGATCTCCTACACACACACACACTACAGCCCGTATGCACACACTCGCTGCATCCCCTATAAAACTATGCCCCCTATACACACACTCTCTACAGCCCCTAGCCACACATATTGCACCACAAACACAAATTAAATTGACCTATTTACACAATACCACACCACACTCTACACACACGCAATCCCACAAGCAGGCTCCAAACATATGCACCATGCACTTTCCTGGCCCATTTGTCCTCTGGTATCCCACTTGTGGAGACATCAGAGACAATTTAAAAGCAAACACAGCACAAGCATGTTATTAAATTTGCTTGCGCAGCGCAGAACAAATTCAGGGCCTTTTTCTAATGCCAGAGCTCTTCAGCGGGGCTCTGCGCATTGATCCAACATGCTCACTTTGAGAGCGGGCGTGCTTGTCATTAGTGATGACAAAACACACACTATCTGGCCCCGCCCCCTTCTTAGGGGGCCGCTCTGATTGAAAAATGCCCGGGCCTAATTTTTTTCCCAGTCCGGCCCTGCCCCAGCCCATCCATGTGTCTCATTTACCCTTCAGACCCTCTCCTCTGGCAACCTCCAGGTCCTCCATTTGTCTAATTCCCCCATTTAGCCGCTCCATGGTCTCATTTAACCCTCTCACCTCCTCTGTGTAGCATGGCTGAGCAGCGCACCGCGGTGGAGGATCTATTCAGTGCTCTGTGAGCGGTTCCTGTCAGACCAGGTTGGGGATATGAGGCTCCTCTACCATAGTCTGTGGCTCAGTCATGCTGCAATGAGTGACGGGGAGCTCTGTGCTGCGCGCTCCACTACTGTCACCTGTCAATCATGCCCTCAGGTGTCTGTGCGCCACCCCTGAAGGTATGCTGGCACACCAAAAACATTTACGGTATCCTGATGGACCAGGGGTTGGCAAACTTTGGCACTCAATGCTCTTACAGGCATAATGCTGTCAAAGCATCAGGGGAGATGTAGTCCACATCTGAAGTGACAACCCCTGAAACTGCTTCATTAATCAAAAGTTGTTTTGGTGAGTATAGTGTCCCTTTAATCCTCAAAAGAACTCTATTTTATTGTTTTTTTAAATATCTGATTTTGTGGCACACCTAGTTGATTTAAAATTAGGGGCTTTTTAACGAACTGCTAACACGTTTTGACATTTTACTATATTAGTTGCATTTTATCAGATTAATTTTATTGAATGTTACACTGTGCTTCTTCTTAATGTTATACATCTGTACAGTGTTAATGGCGATAGGGGCGGAGTTAATTCATCATTACTGGTTTAGGGGCGGACTTAGTGCCGCATTAGTGATAGGGGTGGAGTTAGTGCTGTGATAGAGGTGGAGTAAGTGCAGCGTTAGTGGGGTTAAGGGTGGGGTTAGCGCAGTAATGGTAGTGTTAGGGGTGGGGTTAGCGCAGTAATGGTAGTGTTAGGGGTGGGGTTAGCGTAGTAATGGTAGTGTTAGGGGTGGGGTTAGTGCAGTGATGGTAGTGTTAGGGGTGGGGTTAGTGCAGTGATAGAAGTGTTAAGGGTGGGGTTAGTACAGTGATAGAGGTGTTAGAGGTGTTAGGGGTGGGGTTAGTGCAGTGATGGTAGTGTTAGGGGTGGGGTTAGTGCAGTGATGGTAGTGTTCAGGGGGTCTTCATCCCAGGATCCTCTATGTCTGGGAGCAAAGGCGTGAGAAAAGAGATTGTCCCTTTGTCTCCCAGGTACAGAAAAGCCACCAAAAGTAGCCAGTGCCCCAAAAGTGTAGCCACCAACCTCCAGAACACCTGGTCTCCTTTTGTGCGGCTATGGTGCGAACCCCGGGCAAGGGAAGCCTTTTGGGAATACGAAGGCTCTCCCTGGTTGGCGTTTGTCTATACGAAATGGTGGCCACCCAGAGGAGCTCTCATTAAATTACTTCCCCTGTGGTTTCTCACTTATGTTGCAGGTGCAAACATTCTGATTAATTGGTGTGAAGGTTCCAACGGGGCACCGGGGTGGTCCCTGTTCGGGAGACTAACTGGTTCTATTTTTAACGAATGCTCCCGAACTAGGAACAGGCACAATACATGAAAATGCTAATACAGTGGGGAACACACAAATAGATTAACAGGGGGGTTTCCCACAGGCACCAAGGATGTAGTTTGGTCACACAGACTGCTGCTATTTTTATTCATTTTTTTTTTTAGCCTTATAAACATGTTTAAAATGTATTGATTCTTACTCCCAGAAGTGTTTCTTCATTTGCAGTTCTAGAATTTAGAAAGATTGGCATAACAATTCATGTACATATTCATTTATTTATTTCAGAGCATTGCAACATTAACAGAAAATATTCTGGAAAAAAATGGGTGGTGTAACCAGTGAGATCATTTGTCAAGAGGAGTTGGAAAAGATTAGGAATATCATTGGCAAGGAAACTGAAAATCTTGAACAAATAGCAAAAAAGATCCAGAATAAAATAGCAGAACAAGATGGCGCCACACTGAAAATTGCTGTAACCGGGGAGTCAGGATCTGGAAAATCCACCTTTATCAATGCCATCCGTGGTGTGGCTCAGGATGATGAAGGTGCTGCAGCAACAGGTGTAGTGGAAACCACCATGGAACCAACTGAATATCCTCACCCCCAGGACAAAAATGTAACATTTTGGGACCTTCCAGGTCTGGGAACTCCTGAGTTTCAGGCAGAAAGTTATCGTGAAAAAGTTAGGATGGACGACTATGATTTTTTCATAATCATTGCATCAGAACGATTCAAAGAAAGTCACATCCAACTGGGAAAAGACATCAGAGACATGAATAAAAAATTCTACTTTATTCGATCAAAGGTTGATCAAGACTTGACCAACGCTAAACGATGTAATCCGAAGACGTACAATGAGGAAAAAGTACTTCAAACACTCCGAGAGGACTGCGTTAACAAACTGGAGGAGGGGGGATTAGGACAACCACACGTGTTTCTACTTTGCTCCTTTGATTTGAGTCTGTATGATTTCCACGGCATGATAGAAACCATGCAAAAGGAAATGCCCGATCACAAGAGACGCAAATTTCTTCTGTCCTTGCCTGTTACTTCTTTACAAATAATCGAGGGCAAAAATCAAACATTAGGAAGTGATATTTGGCTAAGGGCTCTTGGGACATCTTTTGCGACGGCTATGGCTTTGCCTGGTCTGTCTTTTGGTTATAATGCTGTAATAATGGAAGAAACCTTAAAATTATACGTGAAGACTTTTTCTCTCGATGAAGCTTCCTTGAAATATTTAGCTACAGAGTCTCTCAAAGATTTTAAAGAAATAAAATCTGTAATGCAATCTGCAATCACCACCCAGGAAATCAACGCGTCCCTTGTTTTAACATTGCTGAAGGAAAGTGTAGATAGAACGGTTTCAATAACCGAAAAAGTTCTCAGTTTTTTCCCAATTCTTGGCAGTCTTCCCGCAGCGGGCATTGCTTATGTTACAACATATAAAGTACTAACAGAATGCCTCCAAGATGTCGTTAAAGATGCAAAAAAGGTTCGGGATCTGATTCTTCAATAAAACGTATTTATTGAGAATGATTTGAAATCTTATTGCCTCCACAAAACCCTTTTTTTTTTTTAAAAGAAAATTTGCATATAAAATGTATTATTATAGCATGCTGTGTCCTAAGGAAATATGTAAAATTATCTACAAATATTATTAAAATACTTAATGCGTTATCAAATAAGTAAAAGAAAATAAAAAACCTGTATTAGTAGCATAACGACTTCCAGCGATATTGTTCACCATTTTGTTGGATAATCTTTGTCACTGTTAGTATAAACGTAATATTGCTACAATGACTGTTGTCTTCAGTTATAATCTTCACTTTAATAAAATAACTCACCCTGTGTATGAAATATGTGTTTTTATTGATCAGTATTGGTTATAGGTCTTATTACTAGATGATGGATTAGAGCAGTGGTAATGTCATGTTCAGATCCCGCTCAGTCCACCTCACCAGTAAGTGTCCCTGGGCAAGACACAAACAATTTATATGCACCTACCTTAAACTCTCAGATTGTAAGCTTGTTTGAGCAGCTCCTTCCTCTCCTCTAAATATCCCCCTTTCTATAATTGTAAATCACATCGGAATATGTTATATAAATGCTATGAATGATAATAGGTAAACCTATCTAATGATTAATGGATCAAGATAGATCGCTACTTGGAAGGGCGGCCAAGGGGAATAGTGACTGCAAAAGGGGCTGTGGAAAAGAGACATACAGAGGGGCATAAAGAGTCACACAAATGGGCTGGGAGAAAGTAAGAGACACACAAGGGGTGTAAGACGGAAAATTGGGGGATAAGAACCACTAAAATGGGTAAGACAATCACAAGAGGGGATAAATAAAAAGGGGGGGCAAAAAATTCAAAGAAGTGTTAAGAGAAACACAGGCAACGCAGACCCTGAGGAGGCAGACCAAAGAGCTAGCAGGGAACAGAGACATGTGGGAGTGCTTTCCTATGGGGTTATGCAAAGTGTGTCCAGCATCATTTAAAGGAGTTGAACTCCACTAGGGGCCAAGAAGCACCTCTAGTGGCTGTATAGCAATCAGCAAGGAGTTAACCCTGCAAGGTAATTATTACCTCAGTGCCACTTGGGTTTCGGGCCAGCAAACAGCTTCCTGTCCTCCTGCTCCTGTTTGCCTGGGCCTGCAGATTGACACAGCTTGAGGGATGGAGGTTGAGGCTTTCTGGCTTTCCTCAGGGCTGATGCAGCGTGGATGGTGGCCGGCGACTGAGGTATGGCTACTGGTGTGGGACCCCCCCCGCAGCCTACCTCCCCCTGGAGCACCCCCTGCGGTCCCCTGCTGCCTCCCCTGCGGTCCCTGCCCCTGGGGGCCACTCCAGCACTGGCAGGCATTCCCGCCCGCCTGCCAGGCTGTCTCCAGATCACACTCCTCGGGCCCAGTTGAGGAGCAGGAGCTTGGGCCTGAGGCATCGCCAGGACCGCGTGTCTGGGGCTCCAGACACGCAGCCTCCCACCAGTGGCCGTGATTTGTAGCCTTCTGCGGCCGCGCACGTGGCACGGCCTTCTGTCACGAGGCCTGCCAGTGCCGCGCGGCCTGCCGCCTCCTTTGCAGCATGGCCTGGTACTTCTTATTACACCCCCCCGGGTCCCTATCCCTCCCTATCTGCATCCCTCTGTTCTCCCCCCCCCCCTGCTATCTTGCCTGGGCCCCCCCCCAAAGGTCACTTACCGCGGCCATCTCCTCTGGGGCGTGGGCTCTCAGCTTCTCTGCTGCTTCCTTCTCAGCATGCTGCCGCAGTTCATGGACCCGTCCAGCAGGTGGCGCCTGGATCACAGCTGATGTCTTCTGTAGATGCTGGAACTGCTTTTCTTTGCCTCAGCCTTCTGTGAATGCAGAGCTGGGCTTAGATCACCAGGCTGCGACAGGTGAGTACATTTCCCCCCTCCTTTTTAGCGCTTCGTGTGCGTACGTTGTTCCTTCTTTTATTCAGTCTAGTCCTCTTGGCACAAAAAAAGAAAAAAAGAAAAGAAAGAAAAAAAAGAAAAAAGACAAAGAAATTTACAGGACAGAAATAAAATGTAAATTACCAAATGGAATAAAAAAAATAAAAAAAACGTGAAAACAATGTCAAGTACAAGGGGAAGAATAAAAAATTAAAAAAATTGTGTACATGGACGCGGCTTCCCCCCCCCTTTTCATTTTCAGTATGTTTCATATGTTTAAGTACGCTTTCCTGCAGCGTCCGGTGCAGCTGATAGTACCGGCGATGCCTCCCAGGTTTGGTTGATTCTGGGTGTTGCTTGGCTTGCGCACAATACTAGGGAGCAGATGGGGGAGGGGGCTTTTATTGCAGGTATGTTCCCTCCTGCCACGGGGGGTCCCTTGACTAAGAGGGACATTAAGGTCTCCGGGAGGGTCGTGGGGAGCATGATGTGGTCGGATCATCCTGCGCAGCTAATAGAGCTGGCATTGGTGTTATGTTCCCTATGTTATGTGTCGCAGGGGGGGCCCATCCTGTCCCTCACGGTTTTTTTTTCATGAGGGCAATCTGTCAGGATAGGGGACACGGGTGCTCTCCGAGCAGGACTTTTCGGCCCATATGAGACTTCCACAGGGTGGTGCGGGAGCGGCTTACGGAGAAAGCTTGATAAGCGTACCTCCGACCAATTTTAGGGTGCCCCCGAAGTCTGCTCCGCGGGTCCCCCCCTTTGGGACATGGTGCCCATAGAGGGACAGGGTTGATATCGCATTATTTCTTATTTACTTAGTTGTCTTTCCCTCCAGGGGGTTAGGTATGGGAGGGCAGGACACCACGGTCCGCGTGGTTAGGGCTGCATGGCTCTGGGGCCTTGCTGACAAAGGCAGAAGTGGAATCTGCCTTCCGGCTGCTGCTGAGGCGCCCGGCAGGTTATTGTTTTCCAGGCCGTATTTCTGACGGTCGGTGTTATGTGGCTATGTGCCTCCGCGTGGGTGGCTCCTAACGTCGCTTATGTGTGGGGCCGACAGTGTCGCACATCGCGCTCTGCTGCTGTGGTGTTTTTCTTGGGGTAGTGTTTCAGCATTTCGGAGTTCCGGGGCCGGGATACGTGCGGTAGTCTCCTGGATAGTGGGATCGAGTCCGGCCGGGGAACGTCGGTTGCCCCAGACTGTGGTTTTGTACATCCGGTGGGAGGTGTCGTGGTTTTGGGGGTGTTGGGGGTTTCAGCTGTGCTACCCGGGGGCTTTGCCTGTCGGTGTTGCCCTTGGGGTTGGTTTTCCTTTTGGGCCTCCATTAACGATGGCTTGTGTATTCAGGCCCCCTAAGTCCCTTCCACTGACTCCCAGTTTGGGGTTTTTTGGGGGGCCATTTTGGGTTTTTCCATGGTGTGCTGACTCTGGCTGTCTTGGGGCTTCCCATTCGGATTGCATGATGGGCGTGGGGTACCCAGCTCGCAGACAGGTGGGTAGTTCTTCCATTGAGACAATCGTGAGGTGGTGCATGCTGTCTATATCATGTGACAGTTCCCTTTACCCCGTGGGGTACTCTGGTTGGGGCGCCTTGAGTTTGGAAGTGTCTGGTCAGGCACGGTTTCCCGGGGGTTCACAAGGTGCTCTATCTGGGTCACTGTGGGATGTACTTCGGGTGGGGGCTCCGCGGGGCCACGTTCTAAGGCAGTGGAGTCATGGTCACTGGGTCTAGAGGCTGTTGAAGCTGGTCCATGGGTCGTTCTCCGAGGCAGTGTGGGGCCCGCTACAGTAAAGTGTGAGCGATCGGGCCGGATGAGTGTATTTCCTTGGCGGCTTCCCGTTCATGTTACAGTCATCTGCAGGTGGACAGGGGTTTTGGTGGATCGAGTATGCGTCGGAATGGACTTCCTTCAGGCCTTTGCCGCTCGAT